GAGCCTTGACTTTTCGACTTACTCCGCAACTGTGGCTTGCAGACTCTGCTTTGAGTGCTTGTCAGTATGTTCTCGCAAGACATGGCTCGTGAGTTCAGGTCAGAGCAACGATCTTCCACCCAGAGCCCCTCACAGCTCTCCGAGACCCAAGGGTCAGAACGTAATTGGCGGAGTTCTAGGACCCCTGGCTTTGCAGAGGCCTTGCTGGACAAAGCCACAGACCGCGATAGTGCCAATCAGCAGTGCTTCTTTGACCCTGTTGCCGCCATGCCGGCGAAGTTGCTTCACTGGATTGCTGGAGTGGGCGCGGCCATTTCCATAAAGATCTCATCATCAATTGCACCTGAGAGATTGAATTGATTACAGTGTTTTCGGCTACGTTTGCCCTTGCGAGCTGTTGCTGGTGTTGCTATCGCGAGTGCCGTTCATTTTCATTGCATGACCATTGTTTTTTATTATTCTTTTTCCCGGTGCGTGGATTGTAAGTGCCAGGAACAAAACCAACGAGTATTGCCATTGCTGTGACTCTCACGCCTCGCAAACGCAGGATGACGTCGTGTGGCTGGCCCCATTCTTGACCAACAATGTCAGCTACTTCTCCCGGCTAAAGAACATCAGCATCTATGGCATCGTTTGTTGGGCCGCTTGTCCCGGATCGGTCTTGCTTCCAACGGAGTAGCGCGGATGCCGTCTTAAACCGCCAGTCGCTGAGATTGTATGGGTTCGGAACACATAGACCTTTGCAAAGCAAGTGCTGAAATACTCATCGTAGTGATGGTGATTGCAGGGGTGGCGTTGGTGGGTGCTGTCCATTCGATCAAGCCGGGTTCGGTTCTTTTGACCAGCAGTAGCAGAAGGCTGTTGTTAATCATGTGCTTCGGGTGCACCGAGCCGGACCATAAGATGAACTCAGGTTCAGACCGCCATTGCCATGTGTATCGCCTATTCGGGCAACAAGCTGGTGGATTCTTGCCCAATGTGCTGTGGAGTCTGCCTTCCAAGGTTTACGGGCCGGGGTTTAGACGGGGCTTTGACGTCCTAACGAGATGGTGACCCGGAATTCCAAAGATGCTTGGTCTTCCGAGAAGATCTTGACTGTGCTGGCTGGCTCCATGCTGGCTCTGTACTCTATCAAGTTGCTCCATGAGTGGGTGACAGAGGTAGAAGAAGAACCTCAGGATACCAAGGAAGATGCTGGGCAAGAGACCCTCGGCCCAAAACCAACAGCTTCCTTAGGGTTTGGGTTTTCGTTTGAGTATGCTCTCAAGAAATCACCAAGCCCCAAAGACTGCCACGTCCTTTTTCCCCAAGCTTCAGGAACAAGTACGCGAAAGTCAGCCCTTCGGACCTGGAGGGTGGCGGGGAGCTCACGCCCGGTCGCAACGAGTCCAGGTGCGCGCTCTGCCGTTTCAGGGTGGTGCCATAGGTTTCGATAGCTTTGCATAGGTTACGATAGCTTTTTGAATGAGCAAGGGTTTGGCTTCCAGGTGTCCACGGACCTCCCAGTCCCAAAATCCGCAGTTTGAGGGTGTCCCCGTTCCAGTAAAACCGTCAGGATTCCTTGGTTCGGTTCTTTCCGCTAGCTTCAAGATCCTTCCTGGCTTGAAAAAAAAAGCAGAATCACAAGGGCAGTCATTGCGATGGCCGTGTCAGCGTGCATTTCCGGGAACGGTAGGCATGCCAGAACAGCAGAAACGTGGGCATAAGCACGGCTTTTGGGACATAAGTAACACAGCCAATTACCAAGATTGGTCATGATGTCATTGGTACCCATGACACATATAGTAAAGGCGTGATGTTGGTTTATATGCAGAATGTGTGTACAATACTATTCACTAACAATATGGGTAGCGTTCATCAAAATGTAGTTGTATAATTATACGCACACCCCCGCACGCTTACATACACAATGCTGCACATGCTTGCATGCATACATCCTCTTCGTATACTGCGTGTTAGAATCTTCAGTTAGTGTTGACCCTCAAGTGACAGGAAACCGACCTAGCTTCCGACCTGCTGCTCCGAGCCGACATGCTGCCTGAAACCAGAACGCTTCATGGTATAGACTATCGGCTGTAGGGTTCAGGAGTCCACCGTTCAAGTGAAGGGTTCATGGCTCCAAGGATACGGGTATAAGCTCAAGAACTTACGGTTGCCTCTCGGTTGTAAGCCCTGGAAATCCCCACGTGCTTCGGACCGCCAAAAACCAAATCCCTAAACCCTCAAACCTATACATCCCAAACCAAAGCCAGGATCTCCTAATCAAGGGCTTCACAGCCCTTGAGTTGCTGCCGCGTCAAGCTCTGACAGACTCTAACAACCCACATGCTTGAATCCGCAGCCCCAGAGTCCAAAGGACTCGTTAAACCCGAACCCGTAAACCCCTTTACGATGGGATTACGGCCGCTTGATAGTCATCTCCAACAAGCTCAGGTTTGCGCCAGCGAGGTGAAATTCAAGTGTGCCAAGATGGACAGAGAGCCCAAGGCTCCTGAATAGGGCGAAGGGTTTATAGGCTTCGGGCTAATGGGTCCAGTGTTGACGGTTTGGTCATTCAAGATTGTCAGACGCTTGCTTCGCTTTGTGCAGCCGTGTGTGCCAAAGTAGATGGTTATCGTCTTCCAAACTCAGCAATGGCATTTCTAAAATGGTTGACGCTGGCTCTGCCAGCATACACAGCGCGAGCTTCGCGCGCAGCGGTGGAGGAAGGGGCCATAGCGCAAGATGCAAAAGAGCGATACAGCGAAGATGTTCAAGGTTTCTATGACAACTGCCGGAGCATTGCAGAAGCCGAGTGTCTAACCACACAGGGCTGTGTCTGGAAGCAGCGACGCTTTGGTCGATCCACCTGCAGCTCAACCTGCATGGACCATAACGTGTCAACCTGCCCGGGCATAAGCTGTCGTTGGGCGACAGATTTGCTTTTCGGCCCTAAATGCATTCCTCGCCAAGACTCGGAGGCATGTGCAATTTACTTCCCAAAGGGGGCGCGAGCGTGCACGGACCATGATTGCCTTTGGGAGCGCTCAAACAACAGCGGTGGGGCATACGAGGCTTGCGTACCTATTTGTGGGCGCTACACTGCCCCTGAATGCCCTTGGCCTGAGTGTATGCAATCGGGCGGATCTTGCGCTGCCCAGGTGCCCTTTCTGCCCTCTGACGTGCAGGTTACAATGTTTCGCGACTGCAAAATATTGACCAAAGCCGCGTGCACTGGCTTAGGAGACTGTACCTGGGAGCAAAGAAGGTTCCGTTGGTCCACTTGTCGCTCTACGTGCCTGGACCACAATAAATCCACCTGTCCAGGGGTTGCATGCCGCTGGACGAGAAACACATTCAGCAAGGACACATGCATCGCCCGCGAGGAGTCGGATGCATGTTGGAAGCACCATACTAGCAGAAGAAGTTGTGTAAGAGTGGATTGCGATTGGGTAGGCAATGGATACGCTGACATCTCGTACAGCTACTGTGTGCCAAAATGTTTTCGCTACAGTGCAGCAAGCTGTCCTGATCCGGAATGTCAGTTGAAAGAGGGTCGTTGTCACCCGAGCAATTTGCCAAACGAGATCCTGTGTGCCGACCTTAGTCCCAGCCAGTGCGATTACTTGCTTCCTGGCCAATGTAGCTTGCTTGATCTTCCCAAGAGCCGTTTTCAAAAGCTGTTTGGGAGATTCTTCGGGCTTCGAGATCACCAGGTCTGCGAAGCTCATAAAACCATTGAGTACCAGCACAAGTTCCAGAAGCTTGCCAACCACAACAAGATGAAGGATGGTGCAACCCCAGATCTGCTAAATGTTTGCAGGCAGCACGAGGCCCAAGAGGGTTGTGAGAAAGAAGAGCTTTGCGAATGGAGGGTTTTCCACTGGGATGAGCAGAAGCAGGGCCAAGCTCGATGCACAGTTCGATGGCAGAGCGACGTTTTCATACAGACCATGGCCGTCGCAGAAGCGGCCCGCCGAAGCAAGCGCAAAACAGCTGCTGTCGGTGGGCTGCTGTCACTTCCCGTCGGCTTCTTGATGGGAGCAGGGTCCATGTTAGGAGCGGGTGGTATGGTTCTAATGCTGGCTAAGATGATGAGTGTTATCACCTTTGGGTTTGGAACAGGACTCCTGTTGACAAACCCCGCTGTGTTGGCGATGAGTGCGGCCATCGTGACGGTGTGTATCATTGTCGCAATTACAAACGGTGTCGCACTCTCACTACCATTTTCGACAGCAGTCGGCGAGAAGGCGATAGCATTTGCAAGCAAGGCTACCGCGACGTGGAAGAAGGTGAAGGTGGCTTCCGGCAACTTTTGTCAAGAGCTCTTCGTCGGGGTAAGTCCTTTGGAAGCAATTTCTGTACGAACCGTATCAGAAAGATTGGTGAAGGCCGAAGGCCATTGCGCGGAGAAGCTCTCCGGCAATGGGTCAAGGGTCTACTCTGCAGGGCTTGAACAGAAGAGGCCTCGGTGGATGAAGTCCCCGGACAGCCTGTGCAAGGACCTATGCATTGATCTGGTCGACACGATCCATCACAACGTGGCAAACATCATCATTGCGGGTGGCACGAAAAAGGTGCTGCAAGCCTGTGCGGCTATGGCTATCCAGCCCGTGGAGTCTCACATCCTGGGCTGTTGTGCCGCATCATGCGGGTGGAATCCATCGACTCAGTTCTGTGAGAACTGGTTTTTCATGCGCTCGGAGGATAGGGCGGTGTGGCTGGACGAATGTTGCAGCGAGATACAGATTGTGAATGGCTCAAAGCGCCAGGCGATGTGCGACAGTTTGGCCACTCTCGAGGAGCAATCCAAGATGAGGAAGACAGACGAACCAGAACGAGTTCCGGATCAAGAGTTCCTTTTCGGCTACAGCCCTGCAGAGGACGACAGGAACATCACTGGGTTTGTTGGGAAGTTGCGCTCTAGGGTCATGCGGCTTTGGAGAAAGTTGAAGAAGCTGATCGGTGCGAAGCACAACCAGACTGCATCTGCCCAGGAAATGATTCCCGGTGACTTGCCGGATGAGTTTACTCCGGCTTCAAACATCCAAATGCAGGAGGACCAAGGTTATGATGTCCATGGCCTGGACCAGCATTCGGAAGATGCGTCAGCCACGTGCCAAGAAAAGTTGATGAAGAAGGAGCAGTGCGGGGCAGTTGACCAAACAAGCTCAAACGGCCTGCAAAGCACCTTGACTGCCTTGACTATTCTGTGGTGTTTGTCAGCACTTAGACTTAGAGCCCAGCTAGACAGCTTCTTCTTAGAAGAGCAACGAAGGTAAGGTCCGGCTGGGCCCCCACCAGCCCTCCGAAGAATCCTTCGTGCAAGCGCGAGTGGAAGGAAGTGGTTGACGCAAGCCAGTGCCTCAGCTGGGGCAAGGAGGTGGAACAGGCGGTGAGGGTAAACTTCGAGCTCAAATCTCTCTCAGCGGTGTCGAACTACTCCCTCATGTGTTATGCGTACACAGAGGAAACTTTTCTTAAATGCCATGCATACGGTTCGGAGAGCGTTCCTGCGTCCAATCTCCAAGTTTCAGGCGGGGTCAAGCACTTTGCCTACACTTATGATCTGCAAAATCTGCGCTGACAGCTGTAGCCGTATCACTCTGCTGCGAAGGGAAAATGCTGGAGCATCTGGCCTCTCGACGTGCTTTCGTTTTCAGTTGCTGGTGCACGTCTGTCTGTTGCTTGCAGTTTCGCGTTCGCTTGCAACCTGGCAGGCGGTCTTGGATTC